TATTTATGTTTAAGATTATTGCAATTATTTTTAACTGAAACTTTTCAGTGCTTGCATTTACTTGTATGTGCATTCACATTCCTATTAGTTTCAACAGCCATACCTGTTTCATGTGAAGGAAGAAATAAAACAAAAAAACACAAGCTTAGACATTATTTGAAGTATCGCTGCAAAAAATATAAGAATATATACCAATCTAACGCTGATGATTCTTACAAGACAGCCATTAATGTACAGTTATGCAAAGATTACACAAGTGCCTGCTTCATAATTGTTACCTTTTTATTATCTACCTAACAATGCCATAGTTACTAGTAAGGCCACCTCATGCAAGCTTTTTTATATATTTCATAGCCAGGATGTCTCAACATGAAATAAAACAATCACCAGTGCTTTACAGTACACTGCTTACCTGCTGTTGATGAGAAGTAAAACCAAAGTAATATTTCTATGAATGGAAAAAGTCTTACCCTTGTACAACCTTCTTTACTATCACAAGCATTAAATATGGCATTACTCAATTTGGCACTAATATAACCATTAAAAAAAATCTTTTATGGAGAAAAGGAGAAAATATGCAAACATTTTCAACACGGAGGGTCAGAGTAGCACTTAATTTTAAATTTAACTTAAAACTGGGGGTAGGTTTCTCCATTATATTATTAGAATAATATTAAATCTGCATATCTTTTAGATTAAAATTTCATATTAAAACATAATTTGCAGATCACATTTCTTTTGGGGTTAGCACCAAAACAATTAATAATACTCCACAATTTCTCTACAATTATTGCAGGTAAAAAAGAAAGAAAGAAAAAAAAATCTACATGGGCAACTTAACACAAAAAACATACTACATTTACTAACATCATACAGAATATGTAATGTATAACAACTTAAAATGGCATTAATTCATCTTTGCTTTAATATTATCATTAAAAAACTGTTTGAATCTTCTTATGTATACATATACTTGTATATTAGGGTATAATTAAGTTCACTCTAATTAAGCTATATCACACTCCAATATAACATAACAAAGGAAAGCCACAAACGGACAAACAATATTTAGCACTAAGGATGCACACCTATGAACCTGAATATTTAAATGTGCATTCATAAAAATCACCACCATAACACATTTTCTCTTAAACATATGAAGGGATAAGGGGGAGGGAGAGGGGAGGGAGAAGGAGAAGAAGAAGGAGAAGGAGGAGAGGGAGAAGGAGAGGAGGAGAGGGAGAGGGGGAGGGGGAAGAATGAGTGGGAGAGGAAGGGAGGGAGAAGGGGGGAGGGAAGGAGAGGGAGAGGGGAGGGGAAGGAGGGGAGAGGGGGGAGGGGAAAGGAGAAGGGAGAGGGGGGGAGGGAAAAGGAGAGGGAGGGGGGGGGGGAGGGGAAGGAGAGGAAGAGGGGGGAGGGGAAAGGAGAGGGAAAGGGGGAGGGGGAAAGAGGGGGAGAGGGGGAGGGGCGAAGGAAAGGGAGAGGGGGGAAGGGGGAGGGGAAGGATAGAGAGAGGGGGGAGGGGGGAAGGATAGAGAGAGGGGGGAGGGGGGAGGATAGAGAGAGAGAGAGAGAGAGAGAGAGAGAGAGAGAGAGAGAGAGAGAGGGAGAAGGGAGAGGGAGAGGGAGAGGGAGAGGGAGAGGGAGAGGGGAGAGAGGGAGAGAGAGAGAGAGAGAGGAGAGAGAGAGAGAGAGAGAGAGAGAGAGAGAGGAGAGAGAGAGAGAGAGAGAGAGAGAGAGAAGAGAGAGAGAGAGAGAGAGAGAGAGAGAGAGAGAGAGAGAGAGAGAGAGAGAGAGAGAGAGAGAGAGAGAGAGAGAGAGAGAGAGAGAGAGAGAGAAGGGAAAAGGGGAAGGGGAAGGGAAGAGGGAGGGCAGGGGAGGGAGAAAGTTGGAGAAAAGGATTGGCACTATCATATTTCCCAAACTAAGATCTGTAGGCCTTCTTGGACAAATAAAGTTTTAAAGATAAAAGAAAAATATTAACACACCATTTGAGGACAAACATTTGCCAACAGCAATTACATCATATTAAGGGATTAATGTAGTTTCATAGTGAACAGCTGAGACAAATAGAGTAATATATGAGGTCATGAGAGAGTAATAGTTAATTTCGGCACATCTGCATGCCATTATCAATACATACGAACTAACAAAAAATACACACACATATACAATTATAATTGCACACACACACACACTCACTCTACTGACACTTTCAATCTTGTTTAATCTCTTACACATTATATTAAGATTAAGATGTCCATATTATATCTCTGACAGATATGAAAATAAATAAAATAAACTGCTATTGCAAATGCATTCTTTCTGGGTACAGTCATGGCAATACAATTATACCAAAAAATAATTAATTTACTGCTAAAATAGCCATTCCTATGTACAGTGGGTACTGCCACAATAAAAGATCTTATATAATTCCACACAACCGGTAAACTGGCCACACACACATGAAAGTGGAGTTACATTACCCTCTAGAAAGGCTGAAGGTAAACAAATCTTTTTCTCATGGCAATTGCATTTGTTTTTGCTCTTGTGATATTTTCTTCATATTCTAACACAAGACAAGGAATCTTATTTTGAATTTGATGAATTATATAATACGTGATTTTGAATCCTCATTCCAAAGGACCTGAGATGTACAAGCTATGTATACTGTGTATGATAAGAATTTTGGTGGTGGTGAAACTGAATACTATATGACTCTAAATGACAGTAGCCATATAGGGATTGTGACACAATTATGTACTTTATATAAAAGATACACACTATCATGGTATTAATGTGTTTTTTTGCTTAAACAATCAATAATGCAAATAATATACTGTATATCAATTGTGCAAATCTAAGCAAATATTCTAGTATGATCATAATTATCATTATATTATTTGCTTACAAATTGAAATGCAACTGATAATCAAAAGCTATAGAAAGCATAGCAATTTATCAGTAAAAAACACATAACTATAGCTAACATTATTCATAAGATGCACAAAAAACTGCCATGAAGTTAAAAGCCTAATTTATCAAACATTTAGTAGCTTTACCATCATCTCCCAAATATTTGATGAGAAGCCAATGTAGCTGCCTTTTCAAAACTATTAACTGCTCAGGACTCAGGGATCATTAGAGTTATTACAAGGCTGCATAAAACAATAATAAAAACATGATAATAATAGTAAAATAAAATAAAATAAAAAAATATTGTGACCATGCAGCTGCTTCCACATTTTATCATGAATCTCACCCTAATGCTCTATTCTTCCTATGACAGCTGCCTAACTGCATGACTACAGATTCTTAATTGAGACATGAAGAGTTATATTGCTGTGCCTGTAATAATTGAAGCAATAAACTACAACTCGCTGTATGCTTGTGTATGATGTTAGATTAGTAGTTAGGTACTATGACAGACAAAAGTAACAACCCTCACTCTTAACTGCCAAACCAAGTATGATAACTATCAATTTCTATTTACTTATTTTGTGTAGCAATACATGCATAACCCATGAAAATGTATTTTCAAGGTAAAAGGAATGTAGGCTGTTACAACACTTGAAAACTTGTATGTGTCATTATCATGCGTCTGGCAGCAGTTGTCATTTTTGTCCATTATTGTACATTTGCATGTATGTAAGTATGTACATGCGTACACATTTCTGTCTCTATCTGTCTATCTATCTATCTGTGCATCTGTCAGCCAGTCTGTTTATAAGTATGTATGTAAATGTGTGTCTAAGTATGTGTGGAAGAAATAGCACTAATAAAATTCCAGTGAATGGCATAAAGCACTCTGAGGCAGTATATTTCTGATGAATAGTCCACTCATAACATTTTACCTCACAGTGCTACGGACATTCAAGGTAATTAGAGACTTTATATGAGAGAACATGTCAAAATATGCTGAAAAACAATAAAACCTCACTTGATTTCCTTTAACAATAAAGAAAAATGCAAAAAAATTAACAGTTTCTTTGAAAATACCCCATTCCACACACACACACTCTACACTCTGTGTGTGTGTGTGTGTGTGTGTGCCCGTGTGTGTGCATGTGCGTGTGTGTGTGCATGTGCATGTGTGTGTTTGTGTGTTTATTTGTGTGTGTGTGTTTGTGTGTTTGTTTGTGTGTTTATTTGTGTGTGTGTGTGTGTGTGTGTGTGTGTGTGTGTGTGTGTGTGTGTGTGTGTGTGTGTGTGTGTGTGGTGTGTGTGTGTGTGTGTGTGTGTGTGTGTGTGTGTGTTTGTGTGTGTGTGTGTGTGTGTGTTTATTTGTGTGTGTGAATTAAATTATTTACTATATATCTATATGTATTCTTTACGTGCACATGCACAAACACATGAATGCACCCACTCACTCACTCACTCATTTACTCATGTGCACACGTGCCTGCGCGCGCGCACACACACACACAAACACACACACACACACACACACACACACACACACACACACACACACACACACACACACACACACACACACACACACACACACACACACACACACACACACACATCACACATACACACACACACATACAGTCACACAGTTGCTCATGCACTCACACACACACACACAAACACAGAGTGCATTTAGGCTGATTTCATGAAACAGATATAGGTATCAGAAGGTATATTCTTTGGTGCACATACTAGGTCAAAGTATGCATAAATATCACAATAATTGAGATACTGATCATCTCCATAAATCAAATCTGGACTCCAGAACTAGAACATGCCTTATCTACAGAATTCATGACTCTTTGCTTGAAGACGATTCCACTGAGTCCTGCTTCTCAATAACTTCCCGAGACGATCTTCTTGATTCCCTCCTGATGCATCTCGGGGCATCGTCCTGGCGAGAAGCAACCATTGTGGAAGCAGGCATTGCAGCATTCACAGAGCGCTGTCGAACTGGAATGGGAATATAGTCTCCCAACACACACAAATGAAGCCTCTCCCTAAACAGAGGCAAATGGACCAATTTACTGCAGAGTTCCTAAATAGCTGGCTGGCCCCAGGGATAGGTTCTTTACTGTGCACTGGTATAATGACAATACAAATACAATAGAAAAATGATGTGCCTACTACTAATAATAATTATGATAACATGATCATTATTATCATAATCATGGCAATAATCATTATAATGACAAAGGCATAGGAAATGGGGGGGGGGGGGGCAACCAAGCCCTTCACCCTAGAATGGAAGGGGGCAGAACCCAATTTCTACACTTACCTGACACTTAGCAATGTGACTAATGCAAACTGACGTCACATCCTTTATCTCTGCCACCAGCTGCCCTCCTTTGATTGCCAGAAGGTCATCCAGGGAGTAAACATGTGGGTCATTTGCCCAGTGTTGAGGAAGTTTTCCTAACATTGTCCTCTCACTGTAAACAAAAACATTATGTTGACATGGATTGATTGTACTGTATCTTATTTTTAGAATACATATTGTACTATGTTTTCACTTCAAAAACTTATAGATCAAACTAGCATCTGTTAACCCATTGAACCCAGATGACATTGCAGTCACATCTTGGAAAAGAGTTGAGGGGCGGATGACGTGAACATGCCGTTGTCAGGCAAATTGGCTGCAGCCTGGGTGATGCAAACTTGCTGTCATGAGCAAAGGTCAGGGTGACAGAAAAGACACGCGATGACTGCAAAAACCTCTTGGATTGTGACTTGACTCATTTGGCACTTGGAATGGGGCTTTAGCATTACTCCCATCGATAAACCAATGTGGAATGTAATGTACGTAAGCAGTGACAGGAAGAGCGCTGGCTCTAGGGAGGACACCATTTCCATGCTGCGCACTGTATTCCTGGCCACTGTGACCGGCAGCGCAGCTTGTATTACGTATAATTGAGAATTACGAAAAAATTAGATATTTGTCATAAATAACAATATGTTCCATATTATTTTTTCTTTACACTCATTATTTACGATATAGAGAAATGATACGGAGTCTGTGCATAGGAAATAAGCTATTACCATCTGGATTAAGCAAATCAAAAGACAAATATGGACATAACTAAAAATGTTTACACAAAATAACTTTGCAAAGGGGATGCACAGAGTCTTGTCAATGCTCATGGCTGTTTGTGCGCACTCTGCCTACACACTGCACACCCGGGATGTTGGCCACTTACGTAAACCACTGCCTGTATTGTCAGCATTGTGATTTTCATGACACTACAGGATTCAATGGGTTAATAGAATGAATATTAATGCAGCCCATAAACCCATGAAGTTGAAAATATATGCATTTTTCTAATCAAATGTGAAATCTGAACAGTTTGCATCCCTTTCTCCTTTAGTTACATCCATCTAACAGTCTACAACATAAAGTAACAAGCATTATTGCACTGCTCAACAAATAAATCAATATAAGAAGTACTGATAAAAAATCCATCTTACCTTAGACCCCTACTACATGTATTTATATATGGCAAAGTATAATATAGCTGCAGACGATAAATGTGGGTCTGATGCAGATGACGACAACGCTTGTACAACCGAGGGTTGAGAGCTCCAACGTTGAAGAGTGGATCACTTCTCATCCGCTCCAGTAGCTCGGAGGAAAAGCTTGCAACAGCATACCTGTGTGGGAAGAGTGTTTGAAATATGAGTTTCTTTTTTCCTCAATTCAATGATGGTTTTACAGAATTAAAGGATAAAACCATATTCTTGCATAAACAAAAAATTGAATGTGTTTCTAAATATGAACAACTGTTTCACCCAAAATTCAATGTATAGTATATGCTTGTTATGATAACTTGCACGTGAACATCCTATCCCACAAACAACAAGAATTCCCCATCATAGAGCCATGCTGCTCAAGTGAAAAATTTGAAGCATGGGATTTATAAATATAACCCTTTCTCTATGCTTTTGGCTGCAGGATACTATTTTGAGGAGAGCGACCCTAAGCCTATATTTGAAGGGGACTGCAGTCTGTGAGGAGAGAGCTCAACCAGGGCCTGGTTCTTAATTATAAAATTAGTAATCATATAGTGAGTGATTAAATCAAAAGTTAAAAAGCAATAAATTAGCTTTTATACACTTTAGACTCTTAGAATTACATACACATGAACATAATATAAAAAATGGATGCACTTACAATTTGAAATCCCATTTATGAAGGACTTTGGCAGGAATAATGGCAGTTTGGTTACTATGGCAAGTTGTACAGAAGTAACGACCGAGATAATGGCATAATCGGAAATGTCGACTGAGACGTTCAGATACACGCATTCCACACCCAGCACACCTCCATCCTTGAGTCCCCATTAACACAGAGCGTCTGAAAAGGTGATAAAATCAGAAAAGAGAAAATATGTAAAGAGCATCTGTGGCTTTTGTTCAGTATCCACAAGTAATATTAAATAAAGATAGTAAAATTTTTTTTTTTTCTTAACCCATCAGCAACGGGTAAAAATTTTGTCAAGTTTACGTATGCGCCGGCTTGTTGGCGCGCACTGGCAGTTTCCTCTGTTTGCGCCCAGCTCGATCGGTAGTTTGCGAGCGACATATAGCACCTAAAAGCTTTTATTTTTCTAAAATTTATAAAAATATTAAAATTTTGAAGGTTTACCTTCACTTTAGGTGCCATTGCCTAAAATCTTTACCATATAAATGAAGCCGCTACTAGTGGAGGAAAACAACCTCCGTCCGACAAGCCAGTAGTGCGGGAATGGGCATGGCATGATGCCCCCGGCGTTTGGTCCACAACAGCCATGGCATGTACGTACGTGACACCCGACGCCAATGGGTTAAGACATAGGAACTAATTCAACCATTTTTATTCTGAAGAGAGAGAGAGAGAGAGAAAAAAAGCTTAAAAGTACTAACTTTGTGTTGGTGTGCAAGGTCAAGATAAGCTGTGGTCTTGGAGGTGCCCATTCAGAGGTGCCCCTTAGTTGTGTCTGTGGCTGCTGGATATCCTTAGGGGCACCACTGTCATCAGGACTAACTGCAACACTGGTTGGTAATGGCAGAAGCTGTAAGAGAGAAACAATTAAAGTCAAGGCTACATGTAATGTTTCCTGTCAAAAACTACTTTACAATCATTTGACAAATATGACACTTTGCTGAAAGATACAGAGAATTGGCTCCTTTGTTTGTGAATTCCCAAAGGGATACCCAAAGGTAAAAATAAGTAATAAATAATATTTATCTTTTCCACTACCCTAGACCTATCCATTTTGGGCAACTAACTCACTCACTCTCACAAGCACATTTTTCTTCTTTGAATGATGATCATGTCTTTGAAACCTGCATTACTTCATAGCTGTTCCTAGCGGGCAAAATTCCATTATTCAGGTTCATGGCTCCATATATGCCATTCTAATAAAACAAACAAGGATGCTATAGATTATGCTATGAAAACTATCACAGACATAAAAGAAACAAAAATAAGTCCATATTCTTTTCTTATTTTCATAATCAGTGTTTACTTATCTTTGTTCTAATTTTGTATACTAACAAAACCATAATATACATAGTATAATCCCCTCACTTTACAAAGCCCTTTCTCACTTTTATATTTTTGTATATTATGACAAAGCCCATCATAGACCGTATGCTTTAGAGGTTTTGAAGGTATGAGTGAATAGTCACTAGGATCTAACATAATTTAGGCCTGAGTGTCCATTTGCTTATAAAACTATCCATTTTCCATGCTATTCCTAGTTTGGGTAAACTCTCCCTTTGCACTTCAATATCTTCAAGTTAATAAAAACCAGATTTCGTACCTTTTGCGGAGCTTCTTGTTCTGACACCAGCCATTCTAGCTCTGAGGCCTTTGGAAGTTTTTGGTCACTAAAATGTTTCAGAAGGTTGAGAGCAACATTCTCTGCTGTTAAATCACCCTTGAAAATGATGGAGTCACTCACAGAAGTCTTCCTTGAAAGAGGTAGCGTAGTCTCTTCTGTGACAAAAAAAAAAAAAAAAATTACATCAAAATCAATGCATGTTATTTTTTTCTTACACACCACACTCAATACACTAATCATTAAGAAAAATAATCACAGTGTTAACCCATAAAAGATAAAATTCTGTATGGTAATTGTTGTTCTCAGATAAGTGCACACCAGATGAAGTAATGTACACTAGGAACAGAAAACTGGTTACAGAAATAAGGACAACTTTAATGGTAAGTAAACATACTAAAATGTACAACTTCTATTACAGATAGAAACTTTTATATTGAGACTACACACACACATAATTTCATATTCAAGAAACAAAATAAAAATGGTAACATCTACATTGCTCTGAAGAAGAGGAAGATGAAGAAGAAAGAAAATCATATTACTAAAAATTATACTGAAACTACTACAACAAGAATATATCATACCTCTATATACTGAAGACCCATTATGATCCTCCTCCTCAAAGTCTGACAGGAGATCACTCTCACTATTGTAAGTTGAACTTTGTGGGGATTCACACACACTGTTGTCTGTTGTGCCTGTTGATTAAATAATTTGTGGACTGATATAAAAAATTTGTATAAAGTTAATCAAATCAATAAGCACATAGACAAAACTAAGAATATGAAACAAACATTTCATTATATAAACCAGAACAATGAAAAAACACCATAATGGTAATCATGATAAATATTAAAGTAACCATATGAGTATAAGACACTACAAAGCAACAATCAACACAAGAAACTAAATATTATATATAAACCTACATGACATACTTTCAACTTTCAAAGGTTGACTCCGGACCCATCTTTGTGGATCAGAAGTAGATTCTGTAAGTGTGTTTGTAGATGGTGAAGCAGAAACTGCAGTCCCTGAGAGTTTCTGGCGGCGCTTTTCCCTTATGCGAGCTTGTAGATTACGAATCTCCTCATCACTGTCCTCGGCCGTGATGGGGTTTGTATTTATATCCCGAGTCCAAGCATCAAATTGCATCTGCATCAAGAATGAAAAGACCAATTTATGACTGTTTTTTTTTCTACTCATGGAATATTAATTTAGAACATAATTAAGTTTGAAAATAAACTCCTATAGTCTTGGTTTCTCAGTTACAATAATCCCCTTAAATTTAAATAAAACTAACAAACAATTAAATATATTATAAATATTACTGTTTTCAAGGAAACAAATCTTTACTCATGAAATACAACTAATAAAAGACTACCTGTGTTAAAGCAGCAATCACAGCTTCAGAGATATTGAAATGAGCATTTTCTCTGTCAAGTTCTGCATATGGCTTATGAAATTCCTTTGAAGACAGAAATCCAATGAGACTTTGGCCAGGCTGTGGCCGAGGGAAGAACCCATAATCTGCAGCTGGAGTAATACTTTGGCCTCCATCTTCCATAAATCTCTTGCGAACTGGATTTGGCAGTATTGAACCAACATCTTCCTTGCTTCCCCCATTTTTCCCTGGTACTCCTGACTCTAGAGTTGGTTCAGTATTGGAAGTAGAAAGTCTTAATTTTCCAACCAGTTCTTGAGCTCCATCTGATCTTGAACGCCCGTGAGTCTTCTTCTTTGATTTGGTAATCTCTGGGATTTCCAAGTTTGAGGGTTTGGAGACTCTGCCTGGTGCACTAAAGGCTATGCCATCAGTGGTGTCTGGATGAAGAGCTGCTGTCACTGGTGTTGATGTCATATGTGGAACAACACTGCTGACTTGATCTGAGATTTGGAGAGTTCTTTCAGGTTTGTTTATTTTGGAAGTTTGTGATACCAGCTCTGATGACGGATCCAAAGTGGAATGATGAGGAAGTGATGATGATTCTGGATTATTTTGTCCTTTGGGCGGCAGATCTGCAACAAAGGTTTCAGATACTTTTTCCTGGGAGCCCTTTTGTTCTTCTATTCCCTGAGTTTCATCAGCCATTAAAATGCCACGACTGTCTACTAACAATTTCACAGACAATCCTGAACGCTGCTGAGAAGGTGTGAGTCGTCTTCTACGTCTTGAGGCTTGAGGCACAGACCCATCTGTGGTGTCCTCACTATCCTGGTCACTATCTGCAGGTGCTGACATCATTCGCCAACTGCTAGCTCGACGGCGGAGTTGCGGTGTCCTGAATCCAAGACCAGCTCTCTGATTATGTAAAGAATATAATGAGGAAGCCTCTCCTTCACTAGCAGTATTCTCTCCTCCATAGTCAACTTGCAATAAACTTGGAGAAATATTGCTTCTAGGACCACTTCCACTATCGCTTATATCATGGAACTGCTGAATGACTAATGGCTGAGGACTTACTGAGTCCTTTGGTCTTGCTCCAGTTCCATTTACACTTTCAGCTGGAGATTTTCCTTGGACAAGCTTGGCTATTGTTGAACTAGATATTTCAGAAATATCTTTGTTGCTGAATGATGGAGGGTGACTTACAGGGCTTGTTGCAGGCCAGTCAGAGCTCCCTGAGCTGCCATCCGGACTCTCTCTGGTCATGAGAGTTATGTTGCGGTCCTCCTGCTGGTCTTTCCTCACTGGCTGTTCCCAGGGATGAAACTGTCCCTTAGGGAAGACCTTGATGGATGCCTCTGATTTTCCTCTTCGCAAAGGCACAAAGTTATCATTTGGGAACAGCCTCCGACTGCAAGTTCTGTTAATATTTACAGGATTGGTTACATATTTACTAGCAGCTCTATCATTCTTGGGAGTCTCAACAAACCCTCTTTCTCCTCTCCTCTTTTCATCGTCACTTTGAGAAGGCCACATAGGAGACCAGTTCCTATCAGTTATGGGACTGGTTGGTAAGGATGATGCATCTCTTTTTTCTGGGCTTTTATTTTTCTTTTCCAGTGAATGACCATCTAATAAGTGTCGAGGTAAACCAGAAGGCCTGCGATGAATAGACTCGACTGCAGTACCAAGAGACATCCATTGTGTTCCTACTAACTGTGAAAAGAAAGATGAAAATAAGATTATTATTAATATAATAACAAACAGGCCAACACTGCAGGAAAGTAATAAGCAATGTAAAACAATAATAACTCAATATCCTGAGAATGAACTAAGATGCATTCCATATCTTACTCCTGATCAATGTGTATGGGTGTGGTGCAATAAAATGAAATGGTATGTTTTAAAGCACAATAGAATATTTTCCAATAACAGTAAAAGAAAACGATAATGTTCAAATTCAACCATCAAAAGTAAATATTTTCTTTGTGTGTGACATTTGAGTGTCTTTGACCAAAACCACTTATTGAAGGTATAGGTTCTCCATTATCAATACATCACTAACTGCCTATCTAAACAAAATTCCTAAACAAAGAAATAGAATATTGTGTTATATAATGAAAATACTTAGAGAAGTACAATTGAAATACAAGTAACCATTAAGGCTATTCTGCAAATAACAAACATGAAACGAAAAGAATATTACATAAAGAAACAACTGCAAATGCATGCTTTCTTGCTTTGTGGATATTTGTAAAAGTTTACCTTCAATTACTATAAATAATGGTGCAAAATATAATATCATGTAATATTCTAAAGGCTTTTTATGGAGCCACTGTTACATAGATATACTGTAAAGAATTCAAGTGTCAGTGTTTTCACACCTTTTTTACATTAAAAGCAAAAAGAAAAAGAGAAGGAAGGAAGGAGGGAAGTAGGAAGGGAGAATAAAATTCTTTGTAAAAAGGGTGCTAAAAAAATTATTTCCCTTTGATAAAAAAACATGAAAATCTACATAAACCAAGACTTGCAATCAATATATCTCTATGACCTTTGCTCCAAGAAAGGGTCAAATCGGTCAAAATAGGTTTTGTCTGCAGCACAACAGAGGGAACCTTCACAAGCACAACACTACCTTGAACTATCCATACAAACATTAAGGCATCAAACTATGCTCACCAATTTTGGATCTATGTCTGCTAAAAGGTCTTGTGAATTTTCTTCTAAGGCTTGAAGACATTTAATAACGGCTCCAGTATGAGCAGGTGAACATAATAAGGCCCAGGGTTGGTAGTGTTTCTTTACATAATCCCTGAAAATGAGCATTAAATGTGAATTAATTTAAAATCATAAGAACTGTTTAAAAAATACTTGGGTTTATGATATAGTTCTTAAAGCACTGATTAATTTGTTTTACTCATTACTGATACCAAAATAAGGAATCATTATAAGCATAAGGAATAACAACAATGATGATAATAATACCATTATCAATATATATAACAAAGTTATCAAAATAAAGATGATGAAGAACAAGAATAAAAAATAAGAATAAGAACAAAAATAAAAACAAGAACTATAAAACAAGAATGAGAGTAAAACAGAATTACAAAATATATGCTTGAGTTTTAAACATGAAAATCTTACTTGTCAATAGTTAAAGCTGCAACCTTTGCTGCCAATTGAAGCTTTTGCAGGGAAGAACGGATCCACTCATCAGCCGGCTTGGAAACAGTAGAGACTTCCACATATGGCCCCAACACTGGACTGAGTACCCGCAGTCCAACCACAAAGGGCCATATATCTGCATTACCCTGCAAGTTAAATATTTCATATCGTATATTCTTTAATCAAATCTGATGATAGGCCCCTTACTTTCTTTAAAAAGTGGGTTGGATGGACACTCACTTAATTACCTAAGACTCTACTAACCATAGATTTCAATATTGTTAATCATCTCATGCAATAACACTGGTTACAGTTGTTTGCTTTAAAAAATGCTACTTCTGGAAGCTTTATTCTTCCTAAAATCAATCATTTAAAAGGTATAATGCAAGAAATCATTATGGGACATTCTTAAAATAAGTACTATTTCAAACACTATTGAATCAAATCTGGTATATGATGACAAATAACTACTGATAAAAAATCACACATCATATTTACCTGAGTATCAGAATGTATACAACCATGATAAAAAATATTTTTTGTTGCCTCGTATATCCTCTGGAAGCCTCCATATACCTACAGAAAAGAATAAAGGAAAATAAATAAATAAATCCAGGCTCTCTGATGCACTTTCTGGGTTTTCCTATGACCTTATAAAAGTTTTTTGTTTACCAAAGATCACTATTGCTATACAGTAAGTATTTTTCCTTTTAAATATTATAATTTATACAATTTTCATTCTGATGTCTGCAAGCATAGCTATAACATACAAAATTACTACTTTGGACAATTTCTAGTTCTAATTTGATATCTTGCAGCAAATATTTTTTGCTGTTGTAAACCATATGCTCTCACACCTTTCTACTCCCATCTTTATGATTTATCTGGTGGCTAAAACCAAATTTAAAATTGTAGAATGTGAACTTTGTTTGTTACATATTCAGAATCACTGATTTATATCCCTTTTGGTAAGGCTATGTACCTTCTTCTTGATCATTACTTTCAACATGTAAGATCCCTCAATTTACAACTATTCAATAAACCTTAACCTCTTGTAAATGTAAAAATAGAAAAAAGGGACATATGCTTGTCCAGATCACTCTGCATACCTGATAAATACATCAGAAACTAAGCATAGATTTTTTTTTCATGATTAACATCATCTTGTGGAAACAATGAACTTTTTTGATAAAATCACGCAAAGCTTTTCACACGTAGAGGTGATCCACAGCCTACTTAGGAGTTTCAGTATTATTATGCAGTTTTTAACCCAGCCTAAACACCAAGTCAGGAATGAAACCAAATGGGAAGCTGGTTAGCAAGTGACCAAAAATGAGTTTAGCTAGTAGAACCTTGACTTTAGCAACTTATTGTTAAGCCTTATGATCTTGATAACACTGCAGTCCCATCATGGAAAAATCTGGGTCAAGGGCTGGGTGACGCGAACATACCGTCATCAGACAAAATGGCCATGGGCCATGTGATGCAAACTTGCCATCATCAGCAAAGGCCTGGGTGATGGAAAAGACTCCCCATGAGGACACAAACTTCTTGGAGTGTGATTAAACTCATTTGATGCTTAGAAAGAGGCTTCTGCATTATTCCCATCAATAAATGAAAGTGGAAGGTAAGGTGCATAAGCTGTGACTGTTAGAGTGTCGGCTCCGGGGAGGACACCATTTCCATGCTCTGCATCATATTCCTGGCCGATGTGATCGGCAGCACAGGTTGTATCATGGAAAATTAAAAACTACAAATAATAAGATATATGACACAAATAACCAAATGTTAAATATTTATTTTTTCTTGCACTGAGTTATGATATGGAGTCTGTGCAAGGAAATTATCTATTACCATCTAGATAAAGTAAATCAAAAGACAAATATGGACATTAGAAAATGGCAAAAAAACTAGAAAAGTTAATACAAAATGACTTTGCAAAAGGGAGGCACAGAGTCTTATTACCACTCAAGAGTGTTTGTGCGCCTAGCTACACGCTGCATACCCAGGATATTGCCCACTTTCATAACCTGCTGCCAGTATTTTCTGCACTGTGATTTCCATGACGCAACCAGATCCAACGGGTTAAATGAAGAACAGTCCAAGAACACACACATTTGATGTTCTTTGACATTAGCCAATGATGATAGCAATGAAGCTAGAACAGTCACATGATACTGTGCCCTATCAAGGTGGAATTTAAACTGTTGGCATTCTATTGGATTAAAGCAAGAAAGTCATGCTTTAATCCATTCTTGAGTCTTAAAAAATTTGAATTAGTTTGATCAAGATATCATATTCTATTTACTGACTTCCTTAACATTTTATAATCAAATAAAGAAGCAGTTCAAGGTATAATTTCCTGGGGTAATTCCTTACAATGCACATTCGCCAGAGACTAAGTCCTCAACCCCATGTAACAATCTTTTCAACAATTTAACCCAGAAAATCTTATTTTCGGCTTGAAAATGTACCATTGCTAGTGGGATAAGTTGCCATGACTGGGTGTACTGTCCAAGGGAAGGTTGCTGGGGGGCTTTGCCCCTCTTGCATTGTTTTCATTTCAGTATGCACAGCAAGATCAAGAGCTGAAACTCAGGAGGACTGAGTGGACTTATGCTTTGAGCAGCGCTTTCCGAGATCTTTTTCCTTTATTTGTGGGGTTACCGTTCGGGTTTGCAGAACATTTCTTGTACAAACAACCGCAACAACTTTTTCTTAAAGAGTATCACTTCAACTAGGTTAGTGCATCCATTCAGGAAAGATTAACCATCCACCAAAAAATACTTAGTGAAGTCTTGCTGACCATCGATAGTGTGCCAAAGGTAAAAATTTGACAGTAATCACTAGACTGCAATGATCACTAAATGTATTTGCTCACCCACAACCAGTCTTCATAACTGAGGTATGCAGTCGGACAAAATGCCACACTACCAAAAAGGAAATATTTTATGTTTCTGTGGTATATTTCTTGAAATCTCAAAAAGCCTTGAAGCTCATTTACAGAGATTTAATAAGGAGATTTCAAAAAAGCTGGAAAATTACAGTCAATGAATAAAACACTGCTATCTTGGTCTCTTATGATGTGTTCGAAACTCTTTGTCCAACTAATTGGACAAGTTGGTAAAGATGCTATGATTTCCTGGACAAGTTGTTTATCTCACCCTACTTCGCAAATGGGTGAGCATGACGTCACAATAGCATTTTCATATAAACAATGACAGTTGCAAGCAACCACAATATATAGGTAGGTAATCTTATGGCCCATTGTTATTGTTATCAAAGGGTTTTAGTGTTTGTCAGTGGAAGGCAAGTTACCTATGATAAAATAGTGAATGTTTATATTTGACCTGGTTGTATTGTGGACAATAAAGGCCTCAGAGGTTCTGAACACAGCCTTGCTGTCCTGCTGTTCTGAACGAGCAAGAGGAGTTCCAAACGCTGCAAGAGGAGTTCCAAACGCTGCATTAGGGGTTAAAGATTAAACCCATTTACGACAGGTGTCCCATATATGAGACACCCAGAAAAATAAACATCGCCGGGCGTCCCGCCAGTGTGACGTTGGATCGGAGCTCACGCTCCAATTATGTCGCAGGCCATGGCTGGCGCACAGGCAGATTCCGAGCAGGTCCCACATCTGTTGACATGTTTTCTAATTTTGCTGATCAATGAAGCCAGAGATCATAAAAAGGTTTTAGATTTTCTATGAAACTGGCAATCAGATACTGTATGTGGCCTATTTTCATATTATGAAGATTGCAAAACCTCTAAACCCCACTTCCCCCTTTACTGTTGGGGATATAATTCTGACATAAATGGATTGTAACCAAGGTTAAATTAAAATTCATTTGAATTTTGATGCAAATCAGCAGAAGATCATTCTACTATCACTAGATTTCATATCTGTCCAAAACTGCAATATCATCCAAATAGCATACCTTAATAATCTGTCTCTCAACCCTAATGATCCAGGTGACGTGACCATTGCCTCAAGGAAAAATCTGGGTGAAGGGCCAGGTGACACAAACTTGCCATCATGAGCGAAGGCCAGGATGATGGAAAAGACTCGCCATGAGTGCACAAACTTTTCGGAGTGTGATTAGACTCATTTGGTGTTTAGAGGAAGGCCTTTGCATTATTTCTATCAATAAATGAGTGTGGAATGTAAAGTGTGTAAGCTGTGACTGGAAGTGTGCCGGCTCCTGGCATGATGCTTCCTTTTTAAGGGGACCATCTCTAAATTGAGGGGTACCCATTAGGGTGGATGATGTCCCCTGCAATAAGAAAAAAAAAAAAAAAAAAAATCAATGAATTCCTACATCTATGCAGGCATTTTGGAAAATTCTATTTAGTTTCCTCAAAAAAATATATATATATTTTTTTTTTATTCATACAAAAATGGAAGCAAATAATAATTAAAAAAAGAAAAAAAAAAGAAAGAAAGAACGAAAAAAAAGTGTTATCTATGCATTTTTAAGAGATTTACAGACATATTCAAAAATTTAATTGGTTAAGAGCTCTAGGACAAGGGACCAACCAAAGCTCAAAAAAAAAAAAAAAAAAAAAAAAAAAAAAAAAAGAAACAAAAAGGTGGGTATTTGAACTCCATTTTTTGTATTATTTGATTTATGAATCTTTACCACTTCATTGCCGTAGAAACTTCAATTTTTTTTTTTTTTTAATACACGGTTTTGTGCAAATATATGATCACTAGTCTCTGAGTTATAGAAACAAACAAAGAAATGTCTCCCATCAAAATGGGCAACTCCAGACCCAAGGCAACATGACCATTATATAAGATCAGTTATTTCTTGTTTTATACCTCTTTTACTAATGTTTTCAGGAGTATACATTTGTTTAAATGTGTAAAATAATGTAAAGGTACATGTACTTGCATGTGTATATGCATATATATGCATGTTAGAAATAACTGTTCAGAAAACATTGATACATCAAAAATATTTTGAAATACTAATCACTTATATTATCGTGGACACTTCATCTTGTGACATAAAAATAGGTATCATATATTTATAGGCCTACCGTTGGAGTTTATATCATACACTGTCTGTTCATTTATTTTATTTCATAAAATGAATTTATAATTACATAATGATGTTTAACAGATTATTTAGTTTCAAATGAAAGCACACACTTAAAATTATTGCAGTCAGAAAAGTCTTAAGTGGTGGCGATGCTTGGAACTCTGTTGGCTGGGTCCCTCTAAGATGGCCATTGATGCAGGTGAGCACCCAGCCCATATAAATATCTATTTTTTGCAAATTTATTTTCAGAGATACAGACTTGTAACTGCTCAAGAATTATAATCAAACCCTAAACATACTTGCATAATGAATATGTCAAAATCAAATCATATCTACTTTAATTTATGGGAAAGAAATTTGAAAAATTGCATAATTTTATTTAATTTTTCTTAATTTCTTCATATTATAAATCTTTCACTTTGGGAAGAAACTGCCATAATAAGACATTTTTATCTTCCTGTGATCCAGTTCAATAGGTAATGTCATAATACAATGCATCATATTCACACCTGTAGAGCAAGAGTGCAGAAGGGTGAAAATGGCTGACAGTTGCAATGAGACTCAGGATTCTGGCCTCGCGCACTGCCTTAATTTTTATTTATGGGAGTTTATATTCACATGGGTAATTCTGCACTCGTATACAAATATGAAACTAAACATAACACATTTTCGACCACTCCGACTCAAAATCCCCTCCCCCCACCACCACCACCAGGGACGGTTCCCTTAATCACTTTTTTTGGCATTTGGGGCTCTTGATGGGTTCAGATTTCAAACTGGGATAGTTACTAAAGTTTATTTCTTTTTTGTTGCCACCATATAGGCTTAAGAATAACCCAGAATCAATGCAACACTGGAAATGCAACATTTCTCTCTGGCCTTCTGACACGTAATGGCTGGTGAGCTGTCGAACCTCGTGTGTGGTGACTAAAAGTCTGAAACACACGATACGTAGATCATTCTAAAAAAATGTACAGATAAATCTTATAACACGTAAAATAAGTGTAATAACTTTAACCCATTACTGCTGGTATATTTTGAAGTAGAAAATAAAAGATTCTGGGCAGCTACAAAATCCGCGCGGCCCACTGCTGCGTCGGAGCGCGAGCCCCAATACAGTGTCACACTAGCGGGACGCCTGGTAATGTTTATTTTTTCGGGTGTCTCATATGTGGGACACCTTTCATTACTAGGTTAATAAAACTTTAAAAGCATAAATGTGTAACAGCAGACACTGATAATTAGCAAATTATAAATTCGACAAGAACATGGTAAAGCATGAACTACTTGGAATATCACAGTAATACGTTATGCAGTCAGTGTTTTGTTCTTCCAGGCAAGGTAAAGAAGATGAGCTACTTAGACTCCTTGAGTGTTGCTATGCAGGGGATATTTTTGTCATTTAGTGGTGAATATTAGGCCGGTGCAACTTAAACTATTTCTTACACTCTAAAAGATGCCGTCCATTTCCCTCTGTATCCATGTGTTGCTAAAAGTAACCTATACCACCAGATCCAATGGGTTAATGACCACAGACATAAGGTGCTCTCTGAAGTGGGTCAATAAGACAAGGCCAAGAAATTGGAGTCATTCAAGGCTAACACACTAACCTACCATTTGAGTTTCATAGTTCTAATCAACATTAAATACTTCAATCAGAACTTGCAATATGTCCTTACCATCATTCAGCATAGCATCAATATATCTTACATATACCAGTTCATTTAATTCATGACAGTTCTGCTTATATAATTCTCTACCTTACCTGCCACACATGTTTTGGTCTTGAAGTTAATACAGCTCCCACGGTATTCACAAGATCTGAGAGCAACGTTCTAATGGCCACACACTGATCCCTGATGGCAACACTGGGCACGTTGCCATGTTGCCAGTCCTCAGTCCTATGGCCACATGCACAGGAGCGGTGTTTAGGATGGGCACAGTGTGGTTCTTTGACACCCTCTGTCATGGTCTGCAGCTTGCCAGAATCACTGTTGCGAGATGAACACGTCAATTAATATCATAGGAATTAGTACAGTTGCTTGTCAGTCGTGGGCACAATACACTTCTCCCTTTCCTTTTTCATGCGTGTAACTCGTTCCATCCATGTTATATTTCTGTATCATATCTTTCACGTAGACACTGATCAATTACTTCCAACTCTACTATCCTCTGAGTAGCTACTGAACTTATGTTGACATTTTATCAATAAATCTACTATAAATTATTCTAAATATGTACGAAAAAGATAAAAATCCCTGAGACTCACTCTTTGTTGCGTTGGACGTCAAACTCGTCAGCTGATCCGTGTTTGGTCGGTTGTGGTCCGATGCGGGTTTTTTGGTATTCAACTCGTGTGACTTTTTTTTTTTTTACTTTTTGATAGATGATATCCGGACTTAGCTTGTATATAGAGAGGGATGAGTTAAGGGTTAAAATGTGAATTCATTAATCTTTGAGTAATTTAGGTTTATATTCCACTCACATTTAGTCATATGATTTTATGGTGTACCGTACGCACGGGTAATTAAATTAAATTCGCCATCGTTTAAAACATTATCTAATCAAGAATGTATATATGATCGATATCACTCGTTTCAAATAAGATAAAACTTGTTATTTTGACAACAGCTTACCAATTGCAAAACGTGCACAACGCAAACGAAGTGTACACTGCAACTGCCGCCTGTTCTTTGTCACATGCCATAACCTTGTAGTGTCCATAAGGTTGGAAATCTCTGATTCAGTCACCGGATATTATATCAACACTTCCGGAGTGATAGTTCTTCATTCAACACTTTTATGTTGTGTTTGTCCATCTGTTTCTTTAGCATTCGTAACAACTTTATTATCTGCCTTTTATTAAATACATTAATTTTCCGCTTTTCTTGCAAGATGACACACGGTTTTATTATAAAAGGAAAGATTTATGTAGGAATTCAATATAAAAACCGATGATAAGAATCTGTAGCGAATTCGTGCAAGAGTTGTAGGGTAACTTCCGTTCCAGGAAACACCTACTGGAACGGAACAGATGATTCCCTCGCTTTCCTCTTCTGATTGGAATGTATATTATATAAAAGTATTTCAGTGGAACAAACTGTAATATTTTCAGTTTTTTTTAATTTATGCAATTATATGAATAAAAATGCGTGCATTGCGATGGGGGTGACTTGCCAAGATAAATGTTGCCGGTGTATTAAAGGTCAGCTATGTCAAAAAGAAAGCAATTCCCCTGAGATTTTAGAATCTTACTAACGGATAAAAAAAGACACTAAATAAGGGTTGTTTTGGATTTATTTGAAGCGGTAAGATGTAGTAAATTTCTTAAAAAAAAAAAAAACAGATGCAAGATGAAAAATCATTAGCACTTGCATATTCTCTCTCTCTCTCTCTCTCTCTCTCTCTCTCTCTCTCTCTCTCTCTCACTCACACACACACACACACACACACACACCACAAACGCGCGCGCTTGCATATCCCAAAGACCTGTTCGTTATACAGCTTCCGAGCATTCAAATAAAAGAGCGAATTGGCCTGTTTCTCTACATGTTAATCTACAGGAGACCCGGCAGCCTGTTGTTTTCCAAGTACGGGAAACCACAAGAGGTACTTCATCTGTTTCTTCTCGGCCTACAATAGAAGGGGGAAAAGGGAGGTTCCGTCATTGGCTTATTCTTCAAAGCGTTCAGGATCTACAACCACGGGTTCCTGGAGGAAATTCGACTCCTCGATCACTTTCCAGGGGGACTTAATTACTCTCGCGATTCACTTTCCCAACTAACACGTAAGACATACAGAAAAAGAAGGAAAAGGAGTAAAAAGGACAGCCCTCGAAACGGGGATAATCTTTCTACACGATGACAGAGCATCTGGTGGTCTATGCAGCCAAGGAAGCCACCATTTCAGAATAAATCAGCGCCATTGTTACAGAAATGAGGTTAGACACAGTAGACCTCTTAGCTAGTGTGTGGTAAACTTTTAGCCCGCGGTGGCTGCGACAAAGTATACATAGGAATCGACCAGCACTATTGTGTCCTCCGACGCCATATGAAGAGTACCGGGACGTAGGAACTTAGACTTGCCCCACTTTTCAGCGAGTAATTTTCATACAAAACGGGTATGACTTATTACCACACCGGACCCAATCGGGAGTAAATAAATGACCAGCGGACATAACCGGAGTATTTTAGGCATAACATAACCTATCCTATCTTAACCAACCTAACCTAACCTGTCCCAACCAACCAAACCTACCCTTACCTACCCATAAACTAAGGCTTCACACTGTGAAGTCAGGGTAATTTACTTTGCTGGGAAAAGGATAGAAACTTGGGTGAATTGGTAAAAAATGGGTCGAATTATTCATCGGAATAGGGCGAATTGGATCTACCCCGAGCACCGTCGTTGTTCATGTTAACGATGGCCATCTTCCCATATGGTCCCACGCCTCCATCAGTGAACATCGGCCCTACGACAAAGGGAGATGGTTGAAGCGTCGTTAATACAATCAACAATCTACTTAAACCCCCCGACTTATTTAGAGCCACGAACTATTCAAGGTCGTCTCCCGCCTGATCACCGATATAACTAGACAGCAACAGATGTGTCTCGATGTGTCTCTTGCTCATTTTGTCGTCAAGAAGCAGTATAGCAAAAAGACCTACAACATATTCGCGTGTTTCCCTGCTTTTCCCACTGAATGCGTGTGTAAGAATGCTTTTACATACGTAGAGAGAGACAGAGAAAATTCATATTCATTTACATCTCTTAAGTAACTGCACTCTTGGCAACCACATAGCATCGGTGAGACAATACCTTCCTCACGACTCATCTCCGGAATAGAAAGTATGACTCATAGTACATCAAGTCATGGTTCAACTCTCGGTTCGTCTTTTATCTAACAGGATAAGGCCCAGGACATCATTTGAGTGTAAAGTCAGGTTTGGTTATTTAGTGCACCTACCATCATGCTAGACTAAATGCACTGTTTGTCTTATAAACGATTTATATTTCTGTTAATGTCTTGTAATTATTATTATTATTATTATTATTATTATTATTATTATTATTTTCGTTCGTCAGCAAAATCTTACAAAACAGATTGTGTTGAACTGCAATGGGTGGACTGTTCAAAAGCCCACGGCCTAGCAGATTTTATATTGGTGGGATCTGGTTCTGCATACGGGTTGTGATAGTTGTAAGAATCTCATTCTCTCTCTCTCTCTCTCTCTCTCTCTCTCTCTCTCTCTCTCTCTCTCTCTCTCTCTCTCTCTCTCTCTCTCTCTCTCTCTCTCTCTCTCTCTCTCTCTCTCTCTCTCTCTCTCTCTCTCTCTCTCTCTCTCTCTCTCTCTCTCTCTCTCTCTCTCTCTCTCTCACACACACACACACACACACACACACACACACACACACACACACACACACACACACACACACACACACACACACACACACACACACACACACACACACACACACACACACACACACACACACACACACACACACACACACACGCACGCACGCGCACACACGCACGCACGCACGCACACTTACGACATACTGATTTTTAGCTGTTTGCGGAGATTTGAATGGGACGCAATCACACACACACACGCGTGCGCGCGCACTCACACACACACACACACACACACACACTACAACAGAGTCAGGGAGAGAGAAGGAATGTTGTTTCATAATAGTTACTTAATTCTCCGTTGTTTCATCACGTTTCTATACCTATACGGCTCCTCAGGCCTAAGCTTGGTCACCATGGAATCATTTATTATCTAAATTTAAGAAAGAGCTTAATGTTAATTATCATCATTAATGTCATTAATATTAGAAGACTAGAAATAATGGCAATAATAACGATAATTTCTATGATCATATTGATAAAGATAATGATAATAATTATGATAATAATAACAATGATAATGACAATGTTAATGATGATATTGATAATGATAATGGTAATAATGATAATGATACAGTAACAATGATAATGGTAATAATATCAGTAATAATAATAATGATAATGGTAATAGTAATTGCAGAATAGTAACATTAACAGCAATAATTATAATAGTGGTGGAAAGGATAATAACAATTGTAATAACAAAGTTGATATTAGTCGTAGTAATAATTATAATAATACTGATGGATATGATAATAACGACAAGGATAACAATAATGATAGGCTAACAATAATAATGATGATATCACTATTATTATACTCATCAATATTATCACCATCATTATTATTATTAACTGTAACAATAATGATAATAATAATGAAAACAATAATGATAGATGAAACGATAATGATAATGAAACGTTTGTTTTCCGTTCTTGTACAGAATATACCACAATTTATATACGCAAAGTTATGGTACAGTGAAAATCATCATGGCGTTTTACTGTCTCTCCCGTCAGTTTCATCTGTATATGCTGAGTTTTATTATCCTGTAGTGTTCATTAACATTTTATTTATTTATTTTTTGTGATTCGTATATTTATTGTATTTTTTTATTTTTCTTTGAAGTATGATTGTTTTGTGCTAATGCTATTGTTTCTTTGAATCCTATGTCCATTTTACTTTTTTTACGCTCCTGTGTATCATCATCGCATATAGCAGTGTTGTCCAAACTGGGGTCCTCGTACCCCTTGGCGGTACGCAACATAGATCAAAGGGGTACGTGAACAAACAAGGAACACACACGCTTCACATCTCGTAATAAGTTGTGTAAGTATTTTTCATTTTGTTATTAAATCATCTTTTTTATTCGCATATTAAATTCAAATTTATTGAACAACACTCCTGCAATGCAGTCTTTTCATAATTAGTATATTATTTGCATTATCCTAATTAAGACAGTTTGTATAGCCATGGTCGAGGGGAGGTACGTAACAGTATAAGAAGGCAATAAAGGGTACAATAGGCGAAAATGTTTGGACAACACTGGTTTATAGTAATGTTATTGTATTGTGTTGAAGATAAGGCTTGTATAATCACTCATGAACTGCCGTTTGTGTCAGGTGTTTTCCAACGGCGTTTCTTGAGCCTAGTTTCTGTACTTTATTTTGCATGTTTTCAATGAATCTACTGTATGGCTATATGTATGTCTATGTATGAACATGCACATACGCACAAGGGCCTTGTACACGCGCACACACACGCACAAGGGCCTTGTACACGCGCACACACACGCACAAGGGCCTTGTACACGCGCACACACACGCACACGCACAGGCACAGGCACTCGTTAAAAATATACCGATATACTCGTGTACACTACATATAAATGGGTAATATCATTATTTACAGGAAATACATTACGACATTCCATATCGCTGATGACGTGATAACAGTGTGCCCTGTACCGCTAAAGTCGGCCTCTAGTTTATGGCGGTGTTGTTTACCCTGCGTGTTTGTTTCACCACATGATACATGGGAGGAGGATGCACTTGTGGAATGAAAGGCTGAGGTGCGCCGTTATGCCCCATGCTACTACTGTGAAAATGATTTAGATTTCTTGAAGGTGGTTATATCCGTTCGTCTAAGTGTGAATGTGCACTTGCCTGTGAATGGTTTTAAGTATGCAAGTATAAAGATACACGCATACACACCTTTGTGTGTGTTTATGTATGTATAAGTATATATATTTACTTATATAAACACATATACGGGCGCGCGCGCGCACACACACACACACACACACACACACACACACACACACACACACACACACACACACACACACACACACACACACACACACACACACACACACATACATACATACA